ATGTTACTCTGTAATAAAAAACTTAATGTCCAAATTCAACCCTACCTCAGTAAAATCAAACATGTGTTTTTGTTTTTGTAGTGTGGTCACAAGGTACCTACCACCACAAAAGCCCCTCCTCCCTCTCAAAAATGGGTAAGAGGGAAACAGGTTGGAGGGGGTGCTCATATACCTTGTGAGTGGAAGCTCACACTCAATGACCATTCAACCATAGAAGAGACTGGGGCCCTTATTCAAGGGGCTTTAAAGGAGATAGATGAGGAAGGAGTCATGGAAGTGGAGGCTTGTGAAGATTTTCTCCACATAATGTTCAATCCCTTGCGTCAAATATTGTTTATACTTTACAAATGCCAAATACATAATATGTTCAATCCCTGTGCTGTGCAAAGGTCAATCTGAAACAGGAAAAATGCCACACTCTCCCCCATCAATACCTTTGCATGAGCAATAAGCCCACATTTTATGTCATAATATTGAATATGTTTGTATTTGAATAAATCCTAAATTATTGAGATTCTCTCGATGAAAAAACATCTATATTAATGTATCGTCTTCAACAAATCATCCTCCCTAATAAATAATACGTGAGAGACATCTCACAAGATAGCTATTGAAAACCTATGTCAGCTGCTACTGTCTTCATTATATCAATTAAGCTTTGGTTTTTGGTTTTCATGTCCAAGAAGGTGTTAAAAAAACAAGATTTTGAGATACAAGAGTGTGTATGATATGCGAGCCATGGCAGCGAGTCATGCACGCCAGATACGACTCATTGAAAACAATACATAAAAATCAAAAACAGTAATCTGGTAATAGCGAAAGAATGAACTGAAAGCTAACCATGGTAAATAAGTGTTTAACCCTAAACAGCACTTAATCATAACCCTAACCCCAACCTAAACCCTAATCAGTAAAAAGAATGCTTAACCGTAATCTGTAAAATTTGCAGTTTTTACTTGTTTTTACTTTATTTTTGCTGATGGTCTGCATAGCTTCCTTGCTCGTAGTTTATGTTAGGACCAGAAATAAAATGTTTATTTACAAAAAACAAAATGTAACAATAAAATTAATAACTTTTATAATTGTATCTTTACTCTGATGTGTGAGCTTTGTTTTCTTGAAAGTGCTGTTCAATAGAACCATGGAGAACTATGAAAAAGAACTTTGGAAAACTTATGTTGTGTCCATGCCAAGTGCAGCAATCATTATTATTTTGGCCAAACCTTGTCTAATAGAATTGTTTGAGGGTCCCCACAGAGAAGACTTGGAGAAAAGTGATCCTCAAAGTTACAATGCCTTTGGTTTGAAGGCAACCCCAGAGTTAAAAACAATAATTTAGTATTATTCGGATATACATCAAATCCCATATAAGAGGATATTTTATAACAACCCATAACCCTGTTGATATCTGAGCTCTGGTCAAATCCGTTGGACTACAAGACTATAGTACCCCATTTTAATCAATATATCCAAAAACAACAGGCATTCTTAGTTTTCCAATATGTATATTAAATTCTGAAGAGTCTCTTGCATTTGTTAAGCTTGAGCAAATAATCAGTGAACTTCAGACAGTGGAATAATTGAAAGCAGTAGGTTTTTTTGAAGCGGAACAAAGAAAAAATGATCAGGGATGATAAGCAAGATTTTCACTTTGTGGGTTTTCAAGAAGAAAACGCGGACACAATACCCTCAGAAATCCCTTGTAAACCTGTTGTATACCTGGACGGAACCGCTTCAGGACATACACCAACAGAACATCATATTCGAAAAAAAAAAAACAGATATTTTACTCACAAATGACTCGCTTGCACCAAAACAATAACCTGAATTATAGCCGTCTTCTCCGGCCAGTCGCTCACTCCCCGAGAGAGAAACAGAAGCAACGGGGAAAATTACAGTAAAACTTACTCTTTGCAAACATAAGGAAATAAATTATAGAACAACTCACTTTTTTAGTTGTCTCCAAAGCATTCTTTTTTCTTATAATATAAAAAAAAAATTATTAAAGAAATAGGCACAAACTTGTTAGCGTGCTTACCTATTTTCGATGTACTGATTACATACGCAGTGAGTACGAAGTGCCTACAAAGCGCGCAATAAGCGAAGAACTATAGCGCAAGAATATACCTGCCAACTCTCACGCCTTAGGCGTGAGTCTCACGCATGCGGGTTGAAAACTTCGATCTCACGCCCGCTCACGCCTGCGGACCAATTTCTCACGCCTGATTGAAAAATGTGAGTTGTTGCCGTCTTGCTTGACACAATTTCCAAAAATATGTACTCAGACCCATGTAAGGAACGAAAACCATGTGTAAAATGAATAAATGACAATACCTTCCTCGCGATCTCTGATTTTGTGGATAAGTGTTTTCTCGATAACTTCGCCTTCGGCAGACTTCGGACGTCTTCGGAAGACTTCGGACTTCTTCGGGAATCTTCGGAAATGATCGTGTCGTTTTCAAAAATCCCAGCACTCCCAGGATAAAAATCTCACGCCTACATCTCAGAAAAAGTTGGCAGGTATACAAGAATGGTTACTCCTTGCCCTCAAGGTACTTCCCAATTCATAGTAAGGAGAAGACAAATAAAAGGCCCGATGAAACAAGAATAAACGAGAAATTTCTGTCAATACTCTTTCCTCTCCCTTGTCCACCATTTTTTATGTTTTGAAAATGGCCATCGCCATGGTGATCATGTTATGGTTGGTGACGTAGACCATTGTTTTCGCTTCTTCCAAAACTGGCATACTCCCGAACTGTAGAAGGGAAATGTTTTAATGGAACGACATTGTTATCTGTGACAAAAGGCCTAGACGCTAACGTGACTGAGATGATTTGACTTTTTTTTTATTTATTTTGAAATATTGTGGCTGTGATGTATTGGTGCCATTGTTATTTACGTGGTCGCACAGATGACGTATAATTTTAAAAACAATGTTGTATTGAATTCTTCTTAGGTTACTAACACAAAGTAAACAAAAGTCAAAATAAGATGAAGTAATATGATGTGTTATTCGTAAATACAAAGTTTTACATAAGGGCCGCACCTAGAGGTTGGAAAATTTAGTAAGCTCCAAGAAATAAGTAGAACAAAAACCTTCATAAAGTTCAAGTTGCCCGCTTTCCATCGAACTAATTAACATCTTTTCTGTACACGGTGGATCATATCATGCAGATTTTAAAAAATATGTAACTAGCTGTTGTTTCCTCCTTCTCCACTTATCATAAAAACGTTTTGAATGCGTTTTTATTTAAATAATAGAAGACAAAGATTAACAAGATATCGAAGCCCACATTTCAAATATATAATAGCACTTTCGGCTGACTTCTTTTAAGTTTTTATCATTGGCATAAACCTCCATCGTCTTCTGTCTATTCGCTGTTTGAGGTCTCTGAGGTGCAGTTTCACAGGTGGACATAGTCATCGGCCGACTGGAATACTGGATTTACAATAGAATACTACCCGGCCTTTTTACTGAATAAATGTAGATACAACTAACCAGGGAATTTATTGACTATTTGACTTTTGAATTTCCTTTTTTTGACAACGTTTGCGAAGATTAGTTGTCGCAGGTTTATATCAAGATACGTGACGAATGGCAGTTAAATGTCTTGACGGGAAGTTTGTGAAACTTTTGTTTTGCGACATTAACTGCAATACAGAAAGCATTAAACAAAACTTGTCTTATTGTTTCTCCACGCGTTCTATTGAATCGGTAAACTTTTCATTTAATTTATAAACACAAACTTATCTGGCGCACCAGGGGCCTGTTTCAGAAATTATATTTTGCGCGTGCCGTAAGGCTCAAGGCATAGCCTATTGCAAGCCAGATAATAATCTGGGATATTATTTCCTTAATATCATAGGTGACGAATTACTCCTTAATTCTGGGGCGAAATTTCAGCGTCAATTGTAATTTCACATGTGAAATTACAAAATTGCCATGGCAACCCTTTCGTACGTCTCAGTGTCAAGATGGCGACGAAGTTTTGTTATGCCGTGAATGAAGATGTTAGGGCACAAAAAGACACTTTAGAAAACCTGAACACACAAGAGAATATCAAGAAGGATTCTAACAGGTATTTTGCCGAAAAAGTCTGAAAAATTCTGAACTTTATAAGCCAAATTTAAGGTCTAAACATCTGAGAGAGTGGAGTTCTCGATCGATACGGTCCAGGATAAACATGTCAAAAATCCAAGATTGCTAACGTAATTCATCACCCATGATATTAATAGGTAATCAAATGGTATACTTGTGAAATTAGGGAATAATTTCACTAGGCTCGGGAAATTATTAGGATTTGCACAAAACGCAAGTGAAATTATTCCCTAGTTTCACGAGTATACCATTTGATTACACATACTAATAGGCTTTTTAATCTTTAAAAAGAGAATTCCTCATTATTATTCTCCTCACGAAGTAGTTCTGATTCATGTTGATTTCCACGTGACCACGTGCAGAGAGTCTTAGCCCATTTAAGGTAGTGATATCTTTTTCCACTCAGAAGAACAACTTAAGTTCCGTAGATTTTCAGAGTTCAAGGTTAACACGTATCCGGATCATTTTCGAAAACGGAGATTTTTCTTTGTTTTAGTCTTCCATCCACACGTAAACGGCGTTTTCGGGCACAAAAAACGCAGATTTTTTAAGAACAATCTCAAAGTGAAGAATTTTGCACACGCTGGATTATCGTTTTTGTATGGATGGACAAAAAAGAAGGTTTTTAATTACGATGATGTCATACATCATAGAGCGCACGCTCTGTACAGGACAACGTGTCGTATTTGCATCGCTTTAGCGTTTTCGTGTGGATCAACAGAAACTACTTGATAACGCTACTTGAAGATGTGCATGTTTTTGAAAAAGGAGAAAAAAATCTCCATTTTCAACGATATCCGGATATGTGTGTTCGTGGCCTCAAAGTTCGCGCCTGCTGTGAAACTGTTACAGGAGCGATACGTCGAGAAGGGCGTTTTGGAAGCAAACAGGAAGATATACATAAGCTTTTTATGGCCTCACGATAGCTTGTACTAAAAAGCATAAGAATGAAGGGGTTTGTTACTGTACTAAGAATAGGAAATAAATAATAAAATAAACCAACAAGAAAGAGACATTTATCCTTCAGAAATATCGAAGGATAAAAGGATTTCAGGAACAAATAAACATAATATGGTGTCCAGCAAATAAAAAATGTCAGAACGATTGATCCAAAGATACTCATGATGTTCCGGCTTTGTTTCAGTCTTTTTGAAGCAAGAGCAGTTCTCCCTCCTCCGTTGTCAACCTTTACTCTAGATGTCCGTAAATGTTTCATGGTACGAGGATACAAGATGAGAATTGAAATAAGCGGAGCACAGTAGAATAAGACAAAACCCACGGCGTAATATATCCTCAGCAAATATACACTCGTCAGGTTTCTACAAAACGTTTGGTTCTCTATTTCAACGATTTTCGTATAGAACAGGTACGGTACTAGGGAAATCGCTGGCAACAACCAACTTATAAGCAGAAAGAATATGCGAGGCTTTTGAGATATGTTTAAAGCCTTTAGTGGAAACGCGGTTACAATAAATCTGTCCACAGCGACGAGCATTAAGCTTAGAATGGAAACCACATACGACACTGATCGTGAATAAATTCCCATTTTGCAGCAAATTGTAGCGAAAGCTGAGTTTGTAATTAGACTTCCGCCAGGTTTTAACATCCCTTCAGTAGCATAGAGCGGCCAGTTAAGGAGAACACAAACCAGATCAGAAGCCGCCATGTTAACGATGTAGTAGTTAGAGCTGTTTTTAAGGCTAACAGACTTAATAAATGTTAGGATGACAAGAGAATTCCCCATTAACGCCAGCAAACTGACCGTTGAAAGAACAACCGTTACTGTTTCGGACACACTAGAGGAGCACCGTGTTTGGTCTGGACTGTAAACTGCGCTGGTATTATTCATGTCTCTTTATCATTTCACTAGCCACCGTAAAGAAACCCTTCTCTGTTCATCATAAAGCATTTGAAAACTGGGGATGAGAAAAGTAAATTAACATAAAATGACCTCAAATATTGATTCAGTGAGCTATTAACGCGTCCACCACCTGCATGCGCTTTCATCGTTTGATTACAATTAAAATTGAATGGACCTTAAAGTCATTATTGCATTTTCGAAACAAGTGTTAGATACTGAAAATTTAGAGCGCAATTTTCAACATTAAATTTCAGTGCCAATCAATATGACGACCACTTAACCGTCATTTCACCGATTTATACAACCACAGTTGAGATTTTTACTCTCTTCAGTGCTATTTGAAAAAAGTAGAATTTGAATGTTTTTACCAAAGTTAAAATTTATCCGGCTATTATCCGCTTGTATATTAACACTGTCCGTGGCGTGGAAATCATGAGCAATTAAAATTTTTACAATTGGTTATTACCATGTTAATCCAAAACTTTATCTGAAAATTGGAAAAAGTGCTTGATTGCGGTTATACAGTTTCACATAATACCTTAAGGATTATAATAGGAAGAAATTTAAATTTGCAATAAAATTTGCCATGCTTGGTGTTACTACCGCACAGGTTTTCGAAACGTCAGTCACTGTCAACAACAACAGTCCTATTCAGGACTACGTTCACCCGGACGATCGAACTCAACCTACTTTTGAAGTGACTCCTGGTTCAAACCTTTCACAGTTTGAATATTTCAATAGTCGCTTTTGAGTAATCTCAATGTCATCTGCTTTGTTAGACGATCGAGTGAATATAGTTAAATTAACTTACACAGTTGATGGGTTCAGCCCATAAGCCGTTCCTTAAGAGACGCTTGATTGTAAGGCAACACTCAATATTTAACAGTTGACTTTAATTTCCTCGCATAAAAAATATGCCACATCATGATGAAATAGGCCTAGTCATAAAGCGGTAATATTTCTATATAAGAAGAATTTCACCGATGTTAATGCATAATCCTTTCAAAGGCGCTTTTGTTGTAAGGTTTAATTTGTTGGATTTGTCACATTCTAAAGTTACAAAATAAAAATAGGATGCAGATTGTTTTAATGTCGGGTCTAATGGAGAACTATAGATCGCCATTGTACTGAAGTCATTTTAATTGATGTGGTGGAGAAAACGTGCACGAGTATCAATTTTCATCCTTTAGGGGGTTCATGCCATAAACATGCGTAGTAACGTAATGGCTGTTAGACTATATATATTGTTCGACTCACAAAATCTAATGAAAAACCTCTGTAGTCAAGGTATACACCACTATTCATGTTTGTGAAAGGTTTGAACCCAGGAGTCATTTCAAAAGTTTGATCGTCCGGGTGAACGTAGTCCTGAATAGGACTGTTGTTGTTGTTGTTGTTACATTGGTAAAACCGGCAGAAACCTACGCACGCGACTGACCGAACACAAACGAGCTACGAAGAATGGTGACGTCAACAATCACATTGCTGAGCACCATTTAAAGACGAAACATCAAATTGACTGGGACTCTGCGACATGCATAACGTATTCCACAGACTACTATCAACGTCTTACTTTAGAAAGCTGGTTTACTAACTTAGAACAAACGCCACTGAATCGTAGCCAACAGTTACCAGCGCCGTACAAACGACTTATTGACGAGATCAAGCAAAGCTGACTACGAGAGAATGACGATTTGACTAACAATAGACGACTGTTTAACTGTCACAATAGACGGATCGAAACGCACCAATTTCTGATTACGAGTCTTCATAGCCAATAACATCACCGCTTAACTGACAGACGACCCGTGACATCACGACGTAATTGACCAATCAGATCAATAACCAGAGTATAATACCATCAACTGACGTGATACAACTCACTTTGACTCTGAAGATGACTACTGCACAGGTTGTGGAAACGTCAGTCACTGTCAACAACAACAGGTCCTATTCAGGACTACGTTCACCCGGACGATCAAACTCAACTTACTTTTGACTGTTCACGTTTATTGTAATTGTGCTTATGCGTAACACAACCAGTCTCAACGTGAGTAGCAATGTCAAATTTACTCTAAAATAAGATCTTTCCTGGTAATAATGCATCCGTTAATTCCAGCTGCACCCAACCCCCCGCCCCGCGCTACTGCGGGCATTTTCCTGCCTTGTCTGTCCCAGGGGGACTTGCAAATCTTGCTCTGCCGGGAGGCCGGGCATTCACCAGCCCCGGGGCTATTCCCAAGCTTTTGACACGCATGCGATTTTCTACCAGATTAACTACGCAGAGGATTTTACTGGAAAAACAAGCATATTGGCACATCTGTCAAGGACCAAAAAATATTGAAGAGGGTTGTAAAGGCATGTTCTCGATTTTATGCCTTTTTGTTTTTCACTGCATATCAAGCCAGAATCACATGGCGAAATCGGGAGCTATCAGGACGTGAATCAACGTTTTTTTTATATGAAATATTTGCATGCGAATAGGAATTTTATGCCTCCACTTGGCCACACTTCTTGTATGTCATGGTTTTTGCATATTGTTTAGTATTGCGTGACAACATCCGGGCATTATAGGGGGTTAGGGTTTATGCAATCGGTAGTACCCCCCTTTGAGAACCCAAGACACGTGAGTTCCGTAAGCGTGGGTATTCACTTCAGCTACTCTTTGAGTCAAGAAGTGTTTTAATTCCCACCTCCTCCCCTTTGTCCTCCTCTCATTGCCTTTATGTTGTGATTTCTTAAACCTTGTTTTGTTTTTGTAGCCCTCACCTTTACTGGGCCAGGAAAAATTAATTCAATATTATATATACCAGATTTTATTTGCAAATTAGCAATTTATTAAAGCAGCTATGGGTTTTTGACAATAGCCAATTACTCCAAATTGGAATATGTGTTATTAATGTTGTTTGGTCCCAGTAAACGAGCAGCGGGGAAAGCAGCGCCCTTTATATATTGTTGAGTGGCCAAGGGTAAGGCATAAATAATCTTAAATTGAATCAAATTTTTGTTGATATTATTTGAAGAAAATTCTTTCATATTTATAAAACTATTCGAATAGCCACTCGTCAGGTTTCTACAAAACGTTTGGTTCTATATTTCAAGGATTTTCGCATAATATATAGACTTAGCCAGAGCTAAAAGCGAAGCTCCCATTAATAAATTTATAATTTAAATCAAACAATAAACTTGTAATCCACAAATCAATTAACTTTAGGGCACATTCATGTGACTTTTGAGGGAAAGGCTAAGTTATTTTAGAGTGAAACATCTTACATCGAGTTGATAGCCTTATGTGTAGACCGAAAACATAGCGAACATCTTCGATCACATTCAAGAGCCATAATGGCCCTTGATCACAGTAGACTAGGCCTCGAAAACAAATTATTGAAAACAAATCAGGCCGAATTTTTTTGCGTTCGACAGGTTTACCTTACAAATTCTTGCCAACAAATCTGGGGGTGTGTAAACCAACTTTTTATACTTTTTATACATCACGTCTGAGGTGAGACAGTACTATTTATCATACAGACCTCGGACAGAATGCGGTATTTCACAATTTTTTCAAGCCAAATTGTACTCAGTCAATGTTCAGGACGATCAATCGTGGGCTTTTAGCGAAACCGTTCAAAAAAGTTCCAAAATCAGCCATACCGCCAGCCGGTTCTCATTTCTGGTGCGAGCTGTCAGTGTGGTCGAGTGTTTGAATGAACTTTAATAGAGTTACGCTTCAACATAACAGCGAATTTATTATTTTTTTTTGTTATATAATGGTTTCAGTTATAACGATGTCTAATGTCATAAAGCGTTTGATATGCGCGACATTTTTGAGTACTTCTGCAAGCGATGTTCATGAACAATGAAAACAAACGCCACGGACAAGCGATTAAAATTGCAAGAGAGCCTACTAACAATCAATAAAAGAAATATAACTCGCTGAAACATTTACAGAGACAACAATTTTCGTTCACGAAGACAAGTATTAAAGTGTCTCTAAAAAACCTGAGTCTTTAAGCTTAAAGCTACTGAAGCTTAAGCTTAAGTTAATTATGTTTTACTTTAAGCCGGCCTCCCGGTTTTTTCTTTTTTCAAAGGTGAAAACGATTTGTGCTAGTTTAGGCATTTTTTAAGTCCCAAACCCAACTTTTCATCTTAGATTCTTCTTTATCTTACTTGTGTACAGTTTCTTCGAAAAGTTTTTCACCGTCTTTTCTTGCTCAAAGAAGAATAATAGCGAAAACATTTTGCAAAACAGCGAGTCTCTCGTAGCGAAGACACACGATGGCAACTGTTGTGAAGATTTCTTGTAGTTTAGGCATTGTCAAGTAGTCAATAGCTTTTTTGGTCTCCGTTTCTCCATTTTTCTTCTTTGTAAATAGCTCCTGCTAAACTTTTTCCGAAGCTTTCACTTGCCTCAATCCGAAATAATCTCACAAACATTTTCAAAACCGCGTGCCATGTTGAACAAAACAAAGAAAACAAGTTTCCCGTGACGTCATCCATGTATCTGTACTCTAATAGATCATGGGCAACGACCAATCACAGCGCGCGTAGCATTCACATCATTGTATAAAACTAAATATTCTTCGGAATGTTTTCTTTCTATTTGCGGTGAGAAAATACGTCTGAAGGTCTTTTAAAGTTCTGTAAGCTTATCAAACCTGGGCTAGGTCAGATCATTGACTCAAATCTTACAAACGAGCATAAGCTGGACGCATAAACTGTGCTCGACTTCATGAAATTAGATATAACAAAAACAAACATTAAATACAATAATTACTTTGGCTTACCATTCGAGATTCAGTTCCTGAAAGATATCAAGGAAGGCCACAGTTGCTTGAGACTTTTAAACCCTCTTACGCATTAAGCAAGGTGAAAAACGAAAACGATGCCATCCGAAATCGGATTACCGAATTTTGACAAGCGACGCATTTCTCAACCAAAAACCCAACAAACAAACCAGCCATGAATAACAGAAGAGTCTTGATAGC